TTTTCTATGTAAACTATCATGTCATCTGCAAACAATGAGTTTTCCTTCCCCCTTTCCAATTTCAATGCCTTTTATTTCTTTGTCTTACCTGATTGGTGTGGTTAGAACTTCCAATACCAGTTGAATAGAAGTGGTGAAAGTGGACACCATTGCCTTGTACCTGATATAGTGTGAACAGTTTACATTTGTTCCATTGAGTATGATGTTGACTGTAGGTTTCTCATATATGGCCTTTATTATGGTGAATATGGTTCCTCTACTCCCACTGAGAATTTTTTTTATCACAAACATGTGCTGTCCTGTACAAAGTGCTTTTTCTCCATCTATTGACAAATCATGTGGTTTTCGTCTTTTCTTTGTTTATTGATATATTATGTTTCTGGATTTGCAAATATGGTGCCATCTTTGCATTTCTGGGACCAGATGATTTTATCAGCTCAAGATTATTTAAACACACATCAAAGACTTGTGCCTGCTCATTTTTTGAAAGGTCCTCGTGGTCCTACTTGTCTTGCATCCTTGTAGGAAATACAAATCTGAGCAGCTGAGAAGGCAGCATCACCTGATATTTGGAAAAGGTAGGACCCATCTGAGGACAAAGCAGGCCAGAGTGGCTGGGCGTCATGCTAACATCACACCTTTAAGATTATCAGGGAGCCACTGGCCAGTCTAATGTAGCATTCCCTCACTTTTTACTAATGCCCACCATTAAATCCACATTTCCCTATAAATAATCCCCAATTGTGAGCAAAAGGAAAGAGAATTTTTAGTTGTTGATTGAAGAAAGTATTCAAAAAGTGTTATCTTTATACTATTAAAATTTTGTTTTCTGTGCCATTATCAGATAGATGAGGTGTTTTGGATTTTTGATTCATAATGGTGAATAGAAAGAAAATACCAGTCTGAATTTGAGACAAATGAAAAAAATGGCATTCATTGTGCAGATGAAGATAGTCATGATTTTCAGGAAATGCCTCGCATTTTTTCATCAATGTGGAATAATTCCTGTGCACCACACTGTGGAGCTTTCCAAAGAGTTTCTTTTCCCATGTTTTCATTTCCATTTCCTCCAGTGTTTTCTTTTCCATTTCCTTCACCCTTTGCAAAGTGCTGGTCTGAGTTTGTGCTTGGGAAGTTGAGACAGAGCAATGTAGAGGAATCCTAAACCATTATTCTTGTCATTGTTACACTAAATGCCCATCACCCCTTGGCACTATCTTAATTAGCCTTGTATCTACATTTTTCACGAAGACACAAAAGACATGCTCATTAGGTGTTAGGGTAACACAAGGCCAGGGAGGGTAATAGGTGCATTTGGAATGGCAATTGATATTCTAGGTCTCCATTACACAGATCATTTTTTTTTGTGGAACATTACTGAGTTCTCTTAGCTCAGTAACCGGCTCTGTCTTTGCAGAGAACCAATGATGTTCTTTTGAAGGTGCTGCATGAGTCCAGCTATAACATGTACAGAGTCAAGATGCACCAGACAGACACTACAATATAAAGAATGTCTTAGGTGAGAGCTGGCCCAGCGGTTCTCCACACCCAGGAACCTGAAGTGACATGAAAGGGCCAACCATCTAGGCTCAAGTATGGGGATGGCTCCCTGATGGCCCTCCTAGTGCTCTAACGTGTCCCACTATCCCATGCTCACAGGAATCTGGACCTCCATTTCTCCAACCAGCTATATAGGACAGGAGAAAGACATTCCTCACATGTTTGTGGGAATATTAAAGAAAAATATGTTACCCCTCACAGTAGAGCTCACAAACATTAGCATTTTGCTCTATTTGTTTTCCTATCACCCCACTATTCTGCTGTAGTAATCAGCTCCATTGTCCTTTCAGACCTTAAAATCTTATACACTATTACATTGAATTAGGAAGGGTTCTACATAAAATTAAGTAAAAGTCATATGTAGGATTATTTCTCTATACCTTTTCAGTTCACAGAGCACAGCAAACCATTGTAATTTTGCCTATTTAGGAAATGTGACCTCATTCATATCTGTACTATCTCATAAAGGAGGTAGTTACCAAAGTATTCATTCATTCACTGATTTTGGACTGTGACAATCCTCAGTTCTGAATCTACTTCAGCAAAGCTGCCAGAAACATCCTCACTGTGTCACAACAGACTGTATCTGTGTGCCAGAACTGACATAAGTCAGAACTGCAGGTTAGTTGGAGGGTTTCTGATGCTTACTGTCTGGGTACTGTGTTTGTCTTTCTAGAGATTCAGTGAAGACATCCAGAAGAACTAATGAACTGGTTTAACTACTCTACCATGCTAGACAAGGGGGAGGTATTCATTCCCTAACACAAGAACATGCACCTATGTGAGAGCTAGCTCAGGTGGGTCTCCCATCTATGACCCCAAGATTACATTCAGGTGCCCAGGAGCAAAGTCAATTTGGGGACCCTCCCCAGGGAACCCAATGGCATTTTGTACACTGACCCACAGTGCCATGTCCTCAGGAATCTGGATCCTATTTTCCTGCTCTAGCTAAAATTGAGAGTAGAAAGAAAATACTTGTTGTAATAGGAATATTCAGAAACATATTGTTTGTCACAAGATAACAATCATATTTGTACTTTTCTTATTCTTTTTGGATTTTTTAAAACTATCTGACCCACTTGTCCTGCAGAGCAGAGAATTCAACAGTCATTGCAGTCTGTCTCCAACAAAGGTGGTTGCTTGCCACAGCTATGCAGCCTCTCAGTGCTGGCAGACATTGTGTCATTCATCTCAGGTGGCCTGTCAGCAGTCCTGCCAGAGCACTTATGTGTGTCCCATGGAACTGCGCATATTGCTGAGGATGTCATAGCATAGGACCCCATGGGTTATGTAAAGAATGCATACTGAATTTTTCACAATTCCAGAGAATAAGAGTTGGAGTGTGGTTGTGGGCATGGCTAGCTCCTTTTGGGAGGTTTCTCCCATGCTCATTCATGGTTGTCCCTAACTCTGGGTTACACACATCCCTTCTGTGCCTCCTTGTCTCCTCCCCTCCTCTCTACAGTCACTTGTCACATTGGGTTAAGACTCACTTCACTGAATTCACTTGGACTTAATAACCTCCTTTACGAGATACAAATGTAGGCATATTTTGAAGATCTAGAGGTTCCAAAGACTTGGAATTTTGGTGACTGTCCTAAGACCACAATGTGTGCCTGTACTATCTTTATCTGGAAAGATATGCACATGTAAAATTCAGCACCCAAACTCAGATTCTAAAATGAAAGCTGCCATTACAGTGCCAGAAGAACTTTTGTGATAATGGCTGCTACCTTTTACCCACCAAGTGTTTCTTATTCATTTATATTTGGAGGAATGTGGGGAAAATACAGACAACTGTAACTGAATAAGAATGAAACAATAGAAAAAAATTACCAATCTGATTATAAAGTGTCCAAGGCAATCCCAGTATTCTCTGGTTTTCATTTTTTCTCCAGCATAATTTGTCTCACCTGTCAGCTTGTCTCCATTCTCAGAAATGGGACCTAGCTGAGTCATCTGCTTCAACTGCTGCCTGGTGACCAGCTTTCTCCATTATAGTATCACCAGGAATTTGCCCCTGTGCTGTTTCTGCATCTCAGAGTGACTTTTATTGTGCAAGATAGAAAAATAAGTGTCATTTGGGAAGTCACTGGATTTCATAGCCTATGTATATTCATCTTGTACACAATTCCCAGTCAGGGACAGTGTTTTCCACCCATAGGTGGCTTTCCAACCAACTGTGTCAGGAACAGATAAGTATCAGGTAGGTAAGAGAAATGCTATGCATTGCTAGATTTGGACATTTCTCAGTTCTAAACCACATGACCTTCCCCAGCCATTCCCCATGCTCAAGCCTGTTTGATTTCTTCTCTATAATGAGAGTGTTGTTTGATGTTCCATGGGTGGAACGCTCTTCATAAGTCTATGACTACAGAAACTCTAACACTCCTCATCTTAAAAAATATGCCTATACAGGAAAAATGAAATCAATACCCACATTCCACCAAAACTCAATAGTACTTTTAAAACCTAATGATAAAATCCTATTTCGCATGGATACTCCTCACCTTTCTCTTGCACACATCCCAGGTGGCCTGACAGTTTGGGATGAGCTCCAGACCTCAGCCCTCCTGTGTATTCATGGTGATGTCACTGACTAGATGACAATCCTAGTCCCACACATGTTGCAGCTAAGTTCCTCTTGAAATTTCTAGAAGCCTGCAGAATGCAGCTTCAGAATGCCTCCCTGGGCACACTGAAGAATTTGGCAGAATTCCTGACTCCAATTATTTAGAGTGGAAACATTTCTCCACCTACTCGCCTTCATGACCATGCTCCCATCCTTCTCCTGAGCTCCAGTGCTCTGGGAAGGTCTGCTAACCCAATGAGCAAGTGCCCCCTTTTCAGAACAGCTCTGATTTTATCCACTGAAACCAGTGTGCCATAATCATGTCACCACATCTCACAGGGCCTCAAATAGTTCCTTTGTGATGCGGGGTGACAGAAGACAAACCACATAATGCTCTCACAGGGACTACTGTGGGGACAATCCAGGCAGGTTTTGACTGGTACCTGGCTCTGCAGACAGGCCTTCTGGATGTTCTGTGGCAGTTTGTGTCAATTATTTTTTGTTCTGTCCACCACGGAAACTCTCCTGCCTCACCCATCATGACCTGTGGCATTTTTGTTGTGAAAAGCAAGTGGAAGCAATCTGTCAAGATACTGGAGGAATCTCTTCACTAATTTTTGTACTTGTTTTTGGTATTTTGCCATTAGAAATCTCTGGAGGTAGAAGGGGTTCCCAGGCTCACTCAGATAGCTGGGATAGTTCTGCTTGGACTTTATTTCACTGACAATTTGTATGAAGTACCAAGTACAAGTAGGTCCTACTAGGGGCAGTTAGCATAACTCAGTGAATGAAGCAGACAATATCCCAGGGCTTCAGTTCTACTCAATGAATAAGTCATTCACAACAGATATCTTTTTCAGGTCTTGTCCTTTATCCATTAGTTGTGATACAATTAAGATCTTCAGGGCACCTGAAGCCCAACTTGCTAATTACGACAATGGACAGTCATTAAGGTATGTGATAAAAAGTTGGGTGGTGATTGGGTCCTGAAGAGAGACCTCCTGTGTTGAGAGGACACTGGTAATGGCAAGGAAGTTCTGTCAGCAAGGAGATCTTATAGATCTGATTCCCAAGGGAGGCCTGAGCTCAGGTGGATCCTCTCCAAAGAGGACAGAATTAAGAGAATGATGGATGGGGTCTCTGCCCTCATACAATCAGAAGAAGGCTGGGCTGTGTTTTGCCCTATGGTCCCAAACGCTCCACACTCCACTCCCACTCAGCCTGCCCTTCCCCATAGTCAACCCTTCTCACCCAGCTCGAAACAGGAGATGTGGCTAGAGCCTGCTCAGCAACCTACATATAATTTCAGTGTAGATGAGCCGGTGATGAATGGATGCGGTAGGCAGTGAATAGACCTTGAAAAGAAATGTCAATGGAAAGAAAAGACTCACAGGGTCTCCATGATAAACCTTCTGCATTGCCAGACTATCTCTTCCAAGGACAGCCACACAGGTGTCAGGATCAGCGTTTCACTGTCTCCTGGTTGGTCATGGGCATGCACAGAGGCCCTCTCCAAAACAAGATTTACCTGGGATGGTGCGTTGAATTAGCATTCCAGACTTTGACTCTGATGCCCAACTGCTTCTCCCCAGGGCCATGGCTTCCACAGTGGGAACCTATACAGACCAGGTGCAATGGTTTGTCAAGCCCCTACATTTGTCCTTGCTCTGACTGAAGTAGGCCTTGGTGCAGGTAAGTGTCCCTACTTCAGAGCATCTGTGCCAGGCCCACCTTCTTTCTGTGGATCTGGAGTATCCAGACCCATAGGATGCAACACCAAAATGTGTGGGAACTGCAGCCTAGGAAAATGATCTGGAAAGTGGTTGTTCATGGGCAGGAGTTCCCTCAAAGGCACAGGCAACATTCCTGTCTCTGTAAAGGAAAGTGGAAATCAGATATGCATTTAAATCTGCTTCTTTCAGATGCTCCAGATCCACCTGCAGAACTCTGACATACTGCACAGACACAGGAACCATGTGCTCAAAGACTAGCATTTTTTTCAGCTACAGGGCTCACTTTGGCTAGTCCCAGTATCAAGTGGTACCAGAAGCCAGGATGCAGCATCTTTTCAAGGAGCATGTCCTCAGGGAGTTGTTAAATGAGTTCAGTTACTGTACCTCCCTGGACAAGTGGAAGATGCATGAGGCCAAAGAGACCAGACAATGCTATGCTGAGGTGAAAGATAGCCAAGACAGATCTCTATGCCCATGACTTTGAGATTATATCCCAATGCCGTGGAACAGACTCATTCTGTGGGCCTCCCCCCAGGGACTGCCAATTCTTTTCCCTACAGTTTTCCACAAGTCCTAGTTAATAAGCAGTCTCATTGCACATGGTTTTTAAAGGTATTTTGTTTGTCTCTGCTGTACATTATGATTGATGTAAACTCGGTCTCCCAATAAACTCATTGTTTAACGTTCTGTTGTGAGTTAATCTCAGAATCGGAAAGCTGCCAACAGGGCAGCAGAGCTCCGTATCCGGTTCTCCACCTGGCTGAAGCCCCGCTGCAGTTAGGAGAGAAAAGAGGCTGCGCGGCAGGCAGCTGTGCCAGTTCCAGAAACGGTGAGCAGCCTGGGGGCCATGAAGATGGCTGCCTCCAGAGCAGAAGAAGGCGGTGTTCACTGGTGCGTTCCGGGCGGGCTGCTTAATTTCCCACTTCCAACGGGCTCTGCTCCTCCCTCTGCTGCTGGCAGCTGGGTGAAGGCAGAGTGCAACTTCCCCGATGCCGGGCTCCTGGCGGAGAGAAGCCCGGGACCAGATAGTGTGCGGTGCAGCTGTCCCAGGACCGCCTTAGGCGGCAAAAGTTTGAGCTCACGCCAGAGTCGCGCACGCTGTGGGTCCTGGGCCCGGCCGACCCAGACCCAGGCGCAGGCGCGCACGCAGAGGCCTTAAGCGGAGGGTGGTGTTGCTGGTGTTGGAGGGAAGTGAAAAGGCCCAGGGTGGAGGATCTGAACCTCCCACAGTCCACGGGGTGTTCCATTACCCAGCATCCTTGTGGGAGGGAGGGAAGGAGGCCTGCTTCCCCTGGACTTTCCTTGACGTGGGTAGAGGAGGAGAGGACCAAGGAGAAGAGGACTCTTGCTCTTTGTAATAACGGAAAGCTGACCATTCTTACCCGATGCGGTGCGTATTTTCTTTCTTTTTTTTTTTTTTTTATTTTTATTTAGTTACTTTTCAAGTACATTTTTTTTCCCCTTCCCCCCCCCCCCCCCCCGCCCGGTCTCCCCCCTCCCTCCCATTCCCCCCCCCCCCAGTCCTCAACTCTGTGTCTTTCATACTTGTTCCTCAAAATCCCTCCCCCTTTTTCCCCTTAAGTTCCCTTCCCTCTCTCCCCCTCTGGTCGCTGCCCACTTGTTCTCTATTTCAGCGTCTTTGTTTTTATTTCTGTTTGCTTGTTTTGTTTTATTCTTAGCTTCCTGTCAAAGGTGAGATCATATGGTATTTGTCCTTCAATGCCTGGCCTATTTCACTCAGCATAATGCTTTCCAGTTCCATCCATGTTGTTGCAAAAGGTAGTAGCTCCTTCTTCTCTCTGCTGCATAAAATTCCATGGTGTATATGGTACCACAATTTTTGGATCCATTCATTTACTGATGGGCACCTAGGTTGCTTCAACTCTTGGCTATTGTAAATTGTGCTGCTATGAACATTGTGGTGCATAGGTTCTTTGAAATTG